GCTAGTGTAGAACCTTCGGGCGGACTACTTAAATTAGACAATCTAAAGTTGTACGTGTGGCTAGTTGTACTCTCACATATGTAATCATTGCTCAAAAACTATCTATACCAATAAAAATCTTGCCGATAGCATGTTTATCAAGTAAAAAAAAAAAAAAAAAAAAAAAAAAATAATCCAGTAAAACCTTGATTACAAGAAACAATTTCAAATTTTATATATACTATATAAGTGCTGTCAAAAGAAAACCTGTTTCAAGTATATTTTGTGTACAGATCATATTCTGTGTTCTATCTATAATAAATCTATCATCAGACATTTAATTATATTTTTTGTCAGATATACTCCTTAAAAAATAATACATATTGATATTAATATTGTATTTAAATTTCTGATCAGATTTTTCAGAGATATGTCTAGCACAAGATATAATTATTATAGATAGAACACAAGATACGATCTGTATACAAAATATATTTGAAAGCCCGATAGCAGATTTTTTTTTGACGGCACCCATATATCTGATATATTTATACTTGCTGGCAAAATGGCAAAACCCGGACAAATTCAAAAAAACAATTGCTATTTATAAAAAATTGAATCAAAAAAATAGTATTGAAATTTTGCTAATATATTATATATAACTATAAGAATATATGATATTTGTTTGAATAAGGATTATTAATTAAATTTTTGAGATATAAATTTGGCCAGAGTTTGGGATTTGGGCACGGACAAACTAATTTTATAATAGTTTGGGATTTTGCCAACAAGTATAGATATATTAGTATAATGATTTTAACTGGCCAATCATAGACGAATAATTGTGATCGACAGGCTGCATATTGGCAACCAATAAAACTAAACTCCTGTTATGCTTATCATGCTGCGCATCGCAAAACGTCAATCACTTCACGTGATTCGTATCACATACTTTATCACATGATAAGTAGGCTAGATCAAGAGTTTCGAATTTGAATGTAAACACTCTTTCAAAAGATGGATGACGACTACTACATCGAAGAAGTTCTACGATATGAAGATGAAATATATAACGAGAAGACAGATACATCGGAAAGGTAATATATATTTATAAAAATATATTATATTTCAGAATGAATGAATATATTTCTAAATTCATTAGTGAAGAAGAATTCTTGAAAGATCCATCAATCATTTATGGTCAACTATATTATTCGAGCGAAAAACCAACGCCAACCCCTGATAGGATCAAAGATCAAAGTCAGGAACACATAGAAAATGTTTTAGAAGTGCAACAAAATAACAAGAAAGATAACAAAGCTAAATCTCAATCAAAGGTGATTGCACTGGTAAGCAAAATATAAAGTTACATTATTCACTAAATTTTCTTCAACCGCGAAGGTACACTTCGAAATGTGTTTCATTTAACAAGGAGTATGTTGAAATGACATTGATTAAAAGTGGATACCGGTTTGCATGAAAAAATACATGGGTTCTTAGGTGTATTCTCACTGTTGATCTTTCGATTCTATGAAAGTTAATGCATCAATATATATTTTTTTACTATTGTTCACAGGAAATACAAAGCACTGATAGATGCATAATGTGCGGATCAGAAAGTCATAGTTCCAATATGTGTGAGAAAACGACACATCCTAACAATGATCAGGTAATTTTTATCTATTATCGCTATTTTTATTTTAAATATTATCTAATACACAAATAAATATTAGGCAACATGGCGACGTTACAAATATCAACAAAATGTCGTCCCACAACCCATTACCTACATTAGTTGTTTTAATTGTTCAAGTAGAAATCACGGAGGACGCGTATGTATAATATCTTCGTTGGATATCGTTACTTAAATTTATAATTTTCATCTTTTCATTTATCAATTTTAAATATATAGGATTGTCCAGATTATTCCCGTTATAAAACTAACGGACGCTCACGGAATGATTCCTCAAAATCTAAGTCCTCAAAATCTCTGTATAAAGATATTAGATTATATTAATACAATTAACTAATTGTTACAATACGAAATTAATACTTAACTCCATAATAAAGGCATAGACTTTATTCCATGCAAATTTTATGTATATAAATTTCACTTCAGTTTTAGAAGTAAAATTTTAATAAATTCAACAAATCAAACAATAATTATTATTATACTGTATTTGGTTAAATGATCGCAAAACTTGCATTTTAATATAATTTTAATTAGCGTAGGAATTTTAGTATATTATTTATACTAGTTTGTAGTCGATTTGGTTTAAAATGGTTGGATGATTAAGGAAAGCTAGTCAATAAATTTTAATAAGATATCAAAATTTCAAAATTTTACGTAGCGATAATAACTTTGCTAGCATTTTCCTAATTGCTCACCAAACTTTAATAAAAAGTTGCGATTTTTTAAAAAAAATTTTTATTAATTTATTAAGGAAAATTTAATTAGCGACCTATATGATCGCGGTTTGTTATTACTAATTTTTTTTTTTTGTAGTCTTCGTCGTGTTTCGGTTCTTATTAGTAGTCGTCGTTTTCTCGTCGAGTCTTTTTCAAGTTTCGGTAGTTTCGGTCTGCTTTCTTCGTTTTTGTTGATTTCTTCGTCGTTTTTGGTGTTTATTTCGGCGGATTTCAGAAGTTTATTCGTGGGCTTTTCGAGAGTTCTTTTATGGATTCTTCGGAAGTTCTTTTGTGGATTCTTCGAGAGTACTTTCGCGGGTTCTTCGAGAGTTCTTTCGTAGGTTCTTCGGGAGTTTTTTCGAAGGTTCTTCGGGAGTTCTCTCGTGGGTCTTAAGGAGTTCTTTCGTGGGTTCTGCGAGAGTTCTTTCGTGAGTTCTTTCGTGAGTTCTTCGTAGGTTCTTCGGGAGTTCTTTCGTAAGGTCTTAGGGGAGTCCTTTCGTGGTTTCTCCGGGAGTTCTTTCGTAGTTTCTTCGAGAGTTTTCGTAGTTCTTCGGGAGTTCTTTGGGGGTTCTTTCGTAGGTTCTAGGTTCTTCGGGGTTCTTTCTTGGGTCTTAGGAGTTCTTTCGTGGTTTCTTCCGTAGGTCCTTTCGTGAGTTCTTTCATGGATCTTAGGGAGTTCTTTCGTGGGTTCTTCGAGAGTTCTTTCGTGGGCTCTTCGAGATCTTTCGTAGGTTTTTCGAGAGTTATTTCGTAGGTCCTTTGAGAGTTCTTTCGTGGGTTCTTAGGGAGTTCTTTCGTGGTTTCTCCGGGAGTTCTTTCGTAGGTTCTTCGGGAGTTCTTTCGTAGGTTCTTTCGTAGAGTTTTTTCGTGGGTCTTAGGAAGTTCTTTCGTGGTTTCTCCGGGAGTTCTTTCGTAGGTTCTTCGGGAGTTCTTTCGTAGGTTCTTCGGGAGTTCTTTCATAGGTTCTTCGGGAGTTCTTTCATAGGTTCTTTGGGAGTTTTTTTTAGTTTTTTTGAAGGTTCTTCAGGAGTTCATTCGTAAGTTCATTCGTAAGTTCTTCGGGAGTTCTTTCCCGGTTCTTAGGGAGTTCTTTCGTAGGTTCTTCGGGTTCTTTCGCAGGTTCTTCGGGAGTTTTTCGTGGGTCTTAGAGATCTTTCGTGGTTTCTTCGGGAGTTCTTTCGTGAATTCTTTGGGAGCTCTTTCGTAGGTTCTTTTCGAAGGTTCTTTCATGGGTCTTAAGGAGTTCTTTCGTGAGTTCTGCGAGAGTTCTTTCGTGGGTTTGGCGGGAGCTCTTTCGTAAGTTCTTCGGGAGTTCTTTCGTAGGTCTTAAGGAGTCCTTTCGTGGTTACTCCGGGAGTTCTTTCGTAGTTTCTTCGAGAGTTCTTTCGTAGGTTTTTCGGGAGTTCTTTCTTGGGTATTAGGAGTTCTTTCGTGGTTTCTTCGGGAATTCTTTCGTAGGTCCTTTCGCGAGTTCTTTCGTGGGTCTTAGGGAGTTCTTTCGTGGATTCTTAGGGAGTTCTTTCGTGGGTCTTAGGAAGTTCTTTCGTGGGTTCTTCGAGAGTTCTTTCGTGGATTCTTCGAGAGTTCTTTCGTGGGTTCTTCGAGAATTCTTTCGTGGATTCTTCAGGAGTTCTTTCGTAGGTTTTTCGAGAGTTCTTTCATAGGTTCTTCGGGAGTTCTTTCATAGGTCCTTCAGGAGTTTTTTTTTGGTTCTTCGAGAGTTCTTTCGTAAGTTCTTCGTAAGTTCTTTCGTAAGTTCTTTCGTGGGTTCTTCGGGAGTTCTTTCGTAGGTTCTTCGGGTTCTTTGGTTCTTTCGCAGGTTTTTCGGGAGTTTTTCGTGGGTCTTAGGGAGTTCTTTCGTAGTTTCTTCGGGAGTTCTTTCGTAGTTTCTTCGGGAGTTCTTTCGTGGATTCTTTCGTAGGTTCTTCGGGAGTTTTTTCGAAGGTTCTTCGGGAGTTCTCTCGTGGGTCTTAAGGAGTTCTTTCGGGGTTCTACGAGAGTTCTTTCGTGGGTTCTGCGGGAGTTCTTTCGTAGGTTCTTCGGGAGTTCTTTCGTAGGGTCTTAGGGAGTCTTTTTCGGGAGTTCTTTCTTCATAGGTTCTTCGGGAGTTCTTTCGGGGTTCTTTCGTAGGTTCTTCGGGAGTTCCTTCTTGGGTCTTAGGAGTTCTTTCGTGGTTTCTTCGGGAGTTCTTTCGTAGGTCCTTTCGTGAGTTCTTTCGTGGGTCTTAGTGAGTTCTTTCGTAGGTTCTTCGAGAGCTATTTCGT